GATGTGTTTCTTCTTTGGGTTAACTCCACTGTGCAGCCACCACACCCTAGCTGCCCACTCATCTCCCCCCCTCCCTGCAATGGGATGAGGTGAAGGACAAAGGAGGATAAAGGCAAGAAAAATTGGGGGAGTCAAGATCAAACAAACAAACAGAAATAATTGTTTAGTAAGTGAAGAGTAAGTGGAAACACAGGGAAGAAAACAAAACGGGATGCAAAGACAATCACTCACCATATGCCATGGGTAGGCTGATGTTCAGCCAGTTCCTGAGCAAAAACCGTGGAGAACTGCCCTAAAACTCCCTCAAACCCCTTCTTTTCCCTTTGATTGCTGAGAATGGTGTTATATGGTATGAAATACCTCTGATTAGCCTATCTGCCTGGCTGTGCTGTCTCCCAGCACCTCAAAATCTATTCCCTGGGTGGGGGCAGAGTGAGAAGCAGAGACAGTCTTGATGCTGTGCAAACACTGCTCAACAAAATCTGGAACATCAGCCTGTTACTGGGGCCAGTTTGACCAAAAACCTGAAGCACATCACCATGTCAGTTCCTGTCTCAGAGACTTCTGGCATGAAACAGTGTGTGCAAAGCCTTCAGCCTGCTCTGATGGCCAGCCTGAGCCAGCACTGCAAGCGGCAGTCCTCATCTCATCCATGGAATTTAAGGACTGTGTTTGGGCAAGAGGGAGAAGGGTGATGTGGAAGCTCTCAGGCCACCAAATGGCTCTAAACATGTCACCACAACAGCTTTTAAAGCATTCTGCATCCATGGATGTTGGGTAACCTGGAAGTTTAAATCCATGTGTTCCATGCTAGGGCAGCATCTGGTGTGTACCTTACACCATGTTTGCACCAACTCCTTCCTGCAGAGGCTGAGAGAAGGATGTGAGAGTCAGAGGAAATGGCCTCAAGTTGTGCCAGGAGAGCCTTAGCTTGGATATTAGGAAAAATTTCTCCACTGAAAGCATTGTCAGGCACTGGCACAATCTGTACAGGGCAGTGGTGAAGTGCCTGTCCCTGGAGGGATTTAGCAGATATGTAGATGTGGCTCCTGGGGACCTGATTTAGTGGTGGCCTTTGCAGCACTGGGGGAATGGTTGGGCTCAATGATCCCAGACACCTTTTCCAACATTAATAATTCTATTATTATAAAATTCTGCTACTGTATGATCAGCCACCATGTGCCCTGCAGGATTTCCCAGCATTTATGGGAAGAGGCAGGAGCACACTTTGGGGTGGGAAGAAGGGAAGGACTCCAGAACTGACAAGCATCACAGGATGGACCTTGGGAAGACCATGAACCCAAAGGGGAGGTTGTTCCCTGTCTGGGTTTTTCTGGAAGGCCTTATTCATGGCTCCTACTCAGATGCCCTGGGGCTCTTGGGGCAGAGAAGGGTGCCAGTGTCTGGAGGGGACATGAGACACTTGTGGGACCTACCTCAACACCCTCAGAGCCAAGGAGGACCCTGGCCCATCTGTGGGGAATGACAGATCACAACAGGAGGTTTGAGGACATGCCAGCCAGGATGGACAAGGCTGCAGTACCCATGGGACATGCCCAGGGCTGCTGCTGTCCATGGGGCAGCCTGGTAAGGTGCTGCCCCCTGCCCCATTCTGGTGTTGGGCTGGTGCAGTGGGGCAGGACAGGCAGCCAGGCCCTCCAGGGGCCTCCTTAGGGCAGGGCCCCGCTGAGGTATGCGGGGCCCCCCAAGGCAGCGCCGCAGCCGCTCCCAGGGCCCGGCCATCCCCTCGCCCCTCAGTGTGATAAGATAAGGCTGGGTGGAGGTGCCAGCAGCTATAAGACGCGTCCCTGCGGGTGCTGTTGCCACCAACCCCTGCCCACTCTTCCAGCAGCCACCATGCTGACCGCCGAGGACAAGAAGCTGATCCAGCAGGTCTGGGGAAAGTTGAGTGGCGCCGAGGAGGATGTCGGAGCTGAGACCCTGTGGAGGTACAGGCCTGGGGACCCCATGGGAGAGGGGGACAAGGGGTGGGAGCCCCACGGAGGGGCCAGCGTGGTGGGTCTGGCTGGGGTCAGCACCACTGACTGTCCCACTCCCCCAGGATGTTCCACGCCTACCCCCCGACCAAGACCTACTTCCCCCACTTTGACATGTCACAAGGCTCTGACCAGATCCGTGGCCATGGCAAGAAAGTGGTGATTGCCCTGACCAATGCCATCAAGAACATCGACAGCCTCAGCCAGGCTATGTCTGAGCTGAGCAACCTGCACGCCTACAACCTGCGTGTGGACCCCGTCAACTTCAAGGCAGGCGGGGGATAGGGATGGGGAATGGGGCAGAGTTTGGGGACAGGGATCAGAATGGGGGGACAGGGAACAGGGGATGGGGAATTGAGACTGAGGGACAGGGAATGGGGGACAGAGATCAGGATGGAAGCCAGGGGATGAAGGACAGGGGATGGGGGAGGGGGATAGGGGTTGGAAGCAGGGGATGGGGTGCAGGGCGTGTGGGACAGGGACAGGGAGTGAGAGGGGGACATGGGGGCTGTAGTGGCTGTGCTAAGCCCCACTTTTCCTTGCAGTTCCTGGCGCAGTGCTTGCAGGTGGTGCTGGCTACCCGCCTGGGTAAGGACTACAGCCCCGAGGTGCACTCTGCCGTCGACAAGTTCATGTCTGCTGTGGCCAGCGTGCTGGCTGAGAAGTACAGATGAGCTGTCAGCTGTGCCTGTGTGCCATCAATAAAAAAGACTCTTTTGCTGCAACAACACGTCTGTTTGTGCTGGGGCTGGGGGCTGGGGTGGGCTGGAGTGTGGCTCCTGCTGGAGAGAGGGGTGACAGATGTGTCATGGGAAGGGCAGCACCAGCCCTGGGCTCCCTGGGTGTCCCCCAGCGTCCTGCTTGCTTCCAACCCTCCCCAGCATGGGATGCAGCTGATAGCAGGACCCAGGGAATGGAGCTGTGCCTGCATCCCTCCAGGGAGCTGGGCCAAGGCTGCACCAAGACAAATGTGATCCTTTTAATCCCTTAAAGGATCCCTGGGGGGGTGATGGGGGTGTAGGATAAATCCTGCCTGTCTCCATCTATCAAGGTGGCTTTCTAGGACTTCCTTAGGAGTGCTGTGGGAGCTAAGTGCTTGCATGAGCTCCAGAAGCAAACTGAGAATTCATGGAGTGAAAAAAGTCCACTGCAGACCATTAAGCACAAAGACTGTTCTGGGACTCAAGCTCCTGAGCCACAAATCCCAGTCAACTGCCAGGGAAGAACCTCCAAACATGCCCCACGTGTCTGCTCTTCCCCTGGGACCTGGGCAGGGTAGGAATAGGATGGGCAGATCTGCAATCCAGCACAGGGACACTGGTTTCAGGACTTCGGAGCCTGAATTTTTAAAAAAATCAGTGATCACAGGTAGTGGGCTATGAGATACTAAACTAGCCCTGAGTTTGCTCTGTGCTGTGACACCAGAGGGAGGAGATGAGATCCTGCAGGAGAGAGGTGCCTGAGTGTCCAGGTGCGGGCAGGAGGCAGGTGGGGGCATGCAGGGACCCTGCTTGCTCACAGACATGGCAGGCCCTGCTCCTGCAGGTGAACCCACAGTGCTTCTGCTCCATCCTCAAACATCCCAGTCCACATCCCAGTGTGCTCGTGTGCATTTTGTTTTTGTGACACCAGTTTGAAGGGCTCTGCTGCCTTGGCAGCAGACATGCAGCAGACACTGCCCTGCTGCTGCTTCCCAGAAAATCAGCCCCCACCGGTCCTCCCTCCCCACTCTGAAGTGGTGCCAGACCGAGCTAATCTCCCCCAAACACAAATGATAAGAACTTCAGCCATGGGGGAAACACCAGTGTGAACTGTCACTGCTGCTCTGCGCCACCTGCCGAACCTGCTGAGAGCTCTGCAAACCCCCTCACCCTCCTCATCTTCCTCACCACCCTCATCTTCCTTGCCCTCGTTACATTCCTCACCTTCATCTCATCATTTGGAGCACACAGGGCTCACCACAGACCACTGTGGACCCTCGTATCTTCCCAAAGCGCTTGCAGCAGGGCCCGGTGCTGATCCTGTGGCTGTGCCCCGTGTCCTCCCTGGCCAGAAGCCAGGGTCCCCCAGTGCCCCAGGGCAGCAGGGCCAGCACAGACAGCACAGGAGAGGGGACTGGGGCAGGGGAGCTCCGGGCTCTGCTAACAAACACACTGCAGTTCATGGAGCAGGGGCTGAAGAGGACACACTGGGGGCTGGTGTGGGGTACGATGGTGTGGGGGTGTCCTGGGGAGTGAGAGAAGGGAGTGCAGTGGGGCAGAGGGCACCGGGACTGTGCCGGATGGCAGGGGGCTGTACAGGGACAGCACATGTGTGTGTAAGGATGGGCAGTGCGGGTAGGGGCGGTGTGTGTGTGTGCGTGTGTGTGTGTGTGTGTGTGTGTGTGTGTGTGTGTAGGCTGCTGGATGGCCAGTCTGTGCCTGCAGGTGCACAGGGGCTGTGGGGGCTGAGGGGCACGGACTGCCCCTCGCTGCTGCCCCAGCGCCTGGCCAGAACCATCCAGGCTGTGCCAGGACGTGTCACCCCATGCCAAGGGACACACACGGGCCCCTCTGCCGGTGCCAGTGCAGCCCCTAACCACAACCCATGCCGTACACCTAAACCTAAACCTCATCTTAACCCCAAGCCTAACCTTAAGCCTAACCCTAGTACCATGTCAGCGTGTGTCTGTGGGGCAGAGAGCCGCTCTGGAGCAGCCCTGACCGTAACCCCGAGCAGACCCCGCGGTGCCGGTGCCGGTG